TAACAGTCGAAACACGGGGAGTGGGGGGTATTTCTGATATTAGACCGTGTATCGTTTTTTCGAAATTCCGTTAGCTCCTATAACATGCTGGGTCGCCGTTTCTTCCATATTTCCGATATTAGCCATATGTTGCGATTCCTCAACTTATTTCGTGTTAAAGTATCTGAAAAAGATAACTCATGTTTTTGGTTCCTTAAGTTGTAAATTACTCCTGTTATTGAGCGACTGAGTCTCACTCTAGAAAGCAACCTTTCACCCCTAAGTGATAAAGCAATTCGCAGTCAGTCATTCTCTTGTGCTTGCCGTTCTCCTTTTTACATCAGGAATTGAAAGGTGCCCCACTGCGTGAGTTGCGCCAGCGCGTGTTGAGCATTTACAATCAATATTTGGCTCCTAACGCAGTGGACCCGCTGAATGTGGATAGTCGAATCTCAGAATCCATTCGTCGCCATCTGAGTGACAATTCCGGTACAAACCTGGATCGATATTGCTTTGAGGAAGCAGAGACACATATTTTCCATTTGATGAAATCCGACTCATATTATCGATTTTTACGTTCGGACTATTATCGCGAACTGTTCACCGGTGGTAAAAAGAAGTCCAAAAAGCACCGGGCTGGAGTCAGCCTAACCGGAGCAACAGGCGGCGGTCTGGGAGCTGCAGGCGATCAACGTGAAGCGCTTCAGTTGCCTGTTTAGGCACTTCCAGTGTTGTTACTGATCACTCATCAGTTATGCTGCTGTGATAACTAGTCCCCCTCCCCCACTGCACCTAACTTATCGTGTGTTAATCAAGCCTCATCAAATCACCTTGTTTTCTTAGATTCTTTTCGTGAGCTGAATTGCATGACATCTTTTATAAACATCTACTTGATCTGTGCTATGCAGTCAGTATTTATGTGCAATATGGTGTGATCGCGTGAGTGCATACGCATGTACAACTCCTTTTTCGCTACTTATCTGCTTAATGTATATAAAACCCCTCCTCAGTCACCACCCCCATCCTTCTTCTGAGTCGTTTATTTACCGTCCCCTTGTATTCTAGATGTCACCACACGAGTCTACTCACCTACACCTGGCTTTCGATGTACCCATTCTCGCTTTTGTATTTAACTCTCCACTACAGTGGTATTAATCGCATCTCTTTGTCCAGACCGGCATAGTGAATTTCTTGTCATGTTGCAAGCGACTAGATGTTATTCGTCTCATTTTCTGTTCAGTTTCATTCTACTCCTTTTTAGGCTTCTTTCGGAAAGACAAATCTTGTAACAGCCGTTACATTTTGTTCCGATCCAATGTTTTATCACGGGCACGATATCCCTTCCTCCCTTAATCTTGATAGCTGTCTATTCCCCAGAATTGTTTCATTGCATTTGTGAACATTTCTCGTAACGTATTTGTACCTCGTTCGCTAACTTGCATTTAATTTTTTTTTCGCTGATATTTTCCTAATCTCACTGTTTCATGCTCCTCTGCTATCTTGCCTTTGGGTGATTTAAGTCAGTATTTCTTTTCGTTCTCGCTCAGCGATGGGAATTGAGACTGTTTGTGTGTATTCAGTCATGAAGCATGATAGGTATGACCTGGTCCTGAGGTCACTATCCAAGTTTTGGGATACACAGCTTAGTTGTCCTCGAGCTCAATTCCACGCACATCCTAATGGAACCTTATACGGTTTGATACTCTCAAATACCGTAATGCAGATCGCTGGTTTCCGTAAATGAACTCTGAGGTGTTTTTCTACTACTGCACGGAGTGCTTGTGTTTATATGACAAACGCAACAAAAGTACCCATACTGGATTTGTCTTGAATCGCATGATTGGGTGCGTATGTGAACAAGTAATCTGCGTTTCTTACCATATGTTCTGTGATTAGCCGATAATTTTATCGCTCTTATTAAGTTAGTGGTATACGTGTACACTAACTCGGCTTGAGATCAATCGTCGATTTTTACACCGTACATTTATTATTGTTTTTGTTTGCACCGTGTTTCAACAGACCGGTGGCACAACATCCTCGTCATTAATTTCTTCTTTAAACCACATCTCCCGTCGACTCTTGGACCGGGACCAGGGAGGTGAATAGCATCAACCGAAGCGAGCTACTTCCGACCTCTCCACCAAGTCATTGTCTGACGGCTGCGCTGTTTTCTGAACTTATCCAGTATGTGCACAGTTAGATAAGACGATGGACGGATATTCGCGAAATAATTTCGAGCCATTGAAATTGGTTTCCTCCTCCTCGATTAAAAGCATTTAGTACACGCCGACGAATATCCATCACGACGAGACTGCATCTTGACGTGGTGTGATGGCTTGTGCACCTCTCTGACCCGACGAGCTATACGGGATGGCTTTTGTCAAGCCGCAGATCTAATCTTGCCTGGAAGGTTAATGAGTAGAGGTCA